GTGTGTATATTGCACTCAAGCACAAAAAAAAAAAAGAAAATCCTGAATACTGCAGTCAAGCCTGAAAACTCCAGAGTAACAAAACCATGATGATCACGATAAAGCCAGTAGAGCAGGCAGGAGGGAGGAGATTTTCTTGTTGATTAATTGTGAGATCGAGGTCCAAATGACCAATGAGTAATCGAGATTCTGATTAAAGCTTTGTCAGACTGTTTGAATCTTTAATGACCACATTTGTGTGTCTGTGATCCAACTAGGTTATGTTTTGTATACAGCACCAAGTTACAAACTAGACCTAATAGAGACATAGAGGCATTGAAGATGTTCTAGACATGTCAGGTGTAAGGACGGGCCTGTATTACTTTTCCTACCCTATATTGCCCAAAATTGAAATGAAGCTAAAGCCAACAGTGCTCAGACAAAGCACTGACAAAAGCTGTCAGGTTCTCAGGCTGATTAAAACCTCAGTTTCACTCTGTTCCCTGATCACTCCTCACAAAGACCCTTGAGTGGCATCAATGAGCACGTTCAGGCTTAAGTGAATGTTTACCTCCCCTAATGACTATCTGTCTCAGTGCTGAGTAAATGCGACTGCCTCAGTTCTTTCCACCACTCGTTGGGGTTACACTGAGTCATGCAGAGATGAGACCTCATCTCCAGGTCTGTGTACCGGCTGTTTGACAACACAAGACTATTTGCAGGTTGTTATTATTTTGCTGTGTGTAATGATTGCCGGACACCATGAAGGCTCAGTAGCTCAGTAGCACATTGTGCGCAAGGAATAAATATATTAGGGCTTCACATCTCTCCTTTTTCTATTTTGAGTTGCATGTTATTTCCAACATAATAAAAAAAGTCAATTCAGATGGATGTAGGAATCTCAACTACAAGAGTTTGGGAATGTAAAAGCAGATGTCTCTTTTCTGATTGCACTGTGCTTAGTGTCTATTCTTGTTTACTAACTTAGACCATGCTTCAATGGGCTACATTCACCCAAAATATTATTTAAAAATTGTTTACAAGTGAAATTGTTATTCGGGCATAACAGCATAGTCAAACGTTTGACATTAGTACCCAATTAAAATGAATATCCATCCATCCATTTTGTGCTGCTTGTCTAGGTTCAGGTTGCAAGGTCAGTAGGCTAAGCAGAGTCACCCAAACCCGCTCTCGCTGTCCACCTCATGCAGGAAACTGAGGTGTCTCTCCAGCATGTCCTGGGTCGGCCCCAGGGCCTCCTCCTGTTGGGACATGCCCAGAACATTTCACCAAGGAGGCATCATTGTCAGCTGTCCAAACCACCTCAACTAGATTGTTTCAATGGGAAGGAGAAGCATTGTCACTCTGAGACAAATGGCCAGTCTCCTCATTTGCGATCCACCCTTTGGGGAAAACTCATTTTTGCCACTATTATCTGCAATCTTGTTCATTCTGTCACTACCCAGGGCTCATGCAACAAAGATCAACTAGTAAATCGACAGCTTTGCTTTAATGCTCAGCTCTTTCTTCGTCACAAGAGACCACGAGAGTCTGTATCACTGCTGACGCCGCACCAATCTATCTGATAGTCTCCTGCTCAACTCTTCCTTCACTCGTGGATAAGACCCCAGGGATTCATTTACTTGGGGCAGTAACTCATTCCTGGCTTTAAGTAGTCACTCTATCCTTTACCAACTAAGGACTCTGACCTTGGACTTGTTGAGGTGCTGTATGGCTACTGAATCAGATACTTTGGTTGTGCCTGGTTGAACAAACTCCCACGCACCCTAAAATAAAATTAACAAACTCTCTGGTCCCCCTTATCAAAGTGGGGAACCACAATTCCGAGTTCCAATCCAGATAGATTTTCTTCGGTTTTTTGTGCCTAGCACAAAATCCTTACAGCAGAAACTGCGAGCCAGAGCTGCTCGTGCAACATAAGTGTCTGACCTCATAAATGCACTTCTGGAAGAATGGTTAAAAAGTCCCATAAACACACCTTATGGAAGTCTTTAGGTGTTGAGGCTCTTGTAGCTGCAAAGGGTGGGGCAACATCATATTAAACCTGATTGATTAAGAATGGGATGCTGCTCAAGTTCATATGTGTGTGAAGGCAGATAAGTGAATACTTTGGGTAATATAATATAGTTTAGAGTATTATTACAGAATGTTTTGCTGATGTCTTGCTTAAAATTTTGAAAACTCCCCCAAACATGTCATATGCAATGTGGAATAAGCAAGTCTGGTTTCTGGCCATAGGTGCAGCTTTCAACTATCTTGCATCTCCCGTTACTAAATCACAAAACAGTAGTGTAACATATCTTCAACCAAATGTAATGAACATATAAATCTACTTTAACATATGAATTGGTAACTAGCTAAAAAACTAAAAAGTAATAAATAAATGTAATTGGATCATGCTGGCCCAAAGTTGGCTAGTCCTGTGTCACCTCAATCAATCAATCAATCAATCAATCAATCAATCAATCAATCAATCAATCAATCACCTCAAAGGCAGGGATTATTAGTATTAGTAGTAATATTAGTCCTACTGATTAAGAGTATTTGTTAACAACTGAAAGAAACTGCCAATCACGCTGCGATTTAAAAGCTCTATTTCATGTTAATTAAAACAGTGAAAACAAAGTAAAGATTTGAAAATTTACATGTTGTGTTGGGGCAAATTACATGTTGGTTTATTACACTTATGGCAACACAAAATAAGCATCACAATGCAGAACTGTTTCAGGAACCACTGTGGAACTGTTTTGGGTCTGGTCTCCACCAGGGAAATATCTCAGTAAGGTTGTGGGATGTTAAACCAAATGAATGAGCTGCAAGAGATCAAAATACTTAGCAGAGCTGAGGTTTGTGATAATTCTTTTTGGGTTTGTCACCAATAGTGACCTCACCTACAATAAACATTCATTACGATATTTAAAAAAAAAAAAAAAAACATATCCAAAAGAATCAATTAAGTACTATGTTTGAGCAGATGGTTACTCTCCACCTTGTGGATTTCTTTGTGATGCATTTCAATTAAAATCCATGTTTATGATGTTTCTTTTTCATCCCATCTCTAGCTGCAGTGTGTTTGATTTGAATAGAACACTTCTTTCAGGACAAACTGAAGATTTCCAAGTAATTTTATGATAATTTTCACATTTCAAAACTAACACTCAAGGGTGTCTGGCTGTGTGCACTTGCTAAGGTTCTACTTTTACCGTCTTTGGTTACTGTAGCCTTGAAAAGCATAAGGATCACTTCTTGTTACAGGTCAGTGCTCTGCCTCTGTGACCTACACATTTGATGTATCTTCCTTTAGCTTTAATGAGCACTTTACTGTGACATTGTCTTTGATTCCCCCCCCCCCCTCCTTTGTGTGCCTGGTTTAGATCTGGTCCACATGGACATCCTTACGCTGCATCAATTGGCAATCAATTCTGTTTCTTTCCCATGTCTTCTAAAAAGCAACAAACATGCAAACTAACTTATTGTACACACTGCTGTACTCATAGCCACACCTGCTCTTGTAGAGAACTGTACTCAGATTGAATGAATGATTCATTTGAAATTGTAAATATAAGCTTTGGGGACTTACACTCCACTCTTCCTGTGAGTTTTGGAGCATTGAAACACGTCTTCTAAAAACAACCTAAAATGCTGTTTGAACCCACGGAGACAAGCCATGACACTCTCCACTAAAAAAATCATCTTTTATTCAAAACTTGCGTAAAAGGAAAAGTTGAATCTGTGCTTCCACACAAACTTTAAATGGTCAGCTACAATGCTGCTTATAACAGGCAAGCAGAAAAATCCCTCTTTCCAGAAACACCAAAAAGACTGTCTGTTCCTATTAGGTAGTTGTCCTTCACAAGTCTTCGTGGCTGCAAGGCAGGGTCAGAAGAAAAGGCACCCAATCCCGAGACATGATGATGAAACTGTGACAAATCAACTCATTCTTCCACTCCAGATTCTGCGAGTCTCTGTGCCACGGGATTTCAGTTTCCCTTTGAGTTTAGGAGCCAGCGAATCTCGCGACTCAATGGTGTTCATTTCTCTAATCCAATCCCTGCATAAAACCTCCCTTTGAACGTCTACAGAAAATCTGAAAGGCAGCACATATCCCTCCCTCCTTTCGCCCGCTCTCTGATCCGCGCTCAGTGTCCGACGCACAAGCGCTTGGATAGAGCGGGGATAGAGCAGATCTAATTAAGTTTGCTGATGGTGAAAGTGATGATTACTCTGCAGGAAAAAAGGGGGGAGAGTGAGGAAGAGGGCAGAGAAGATAACGAGAATAACTGAGGGGTGGGGTTGGGGGGGTGAATACACCCTCCCCGCTTCTCCTCCTCATCTCCCCCTTCCTCTTCGTCATGATGATGATCACCGACACCATCATTAAAGACATTATTCAAATAATTCAAATATTTTCGGGAGTCATTTGCTACTAAAATAATACCATCCATCCCCTCCATTCGCTTCCGGAATGTGATGATTATACCTATTTGAGGATTTTACATTTAGTGTATTGGCTCTGTTTTACTCTAAAATACTCATGAAATCTTAGTTCAAACTGAGCTAATTTCACTTTCATAACCCAACTTTTCTGAAACGTAGCTGTTGTTATTATTTTCCCAGTTTTGACTGAAAAGCTGCTCCTGCCATACATCAGCCAGAATCAGACCATAAACGTGAGGCCACTCGACTTTTTAAAGCTGGCATTTTATCCGGATTTCCTCCTGTTTTGTTCTTTTCGCCTCCACTCTAATTTGTATTGATCCGAACTGCAGGTGACTTCTATTGCTTTTTCTGAAATGAGGCATCTGTCTCAAGCACACTAGCCTTCTCTGACCATCCCCTCATCCAGCCTCCCCCTCCACCCCCTACCCCTCTTGAACACCTCCTACTTTCACTTCCTCCAGTTACGTCCCAACCAACCCGGTGTGTGCTAGATGCTGGAATAAATTAAATTGCGACGCTGTGGTACAGGAGGGAGGGAGAGAGAGAGAGGAGAGCGAGAGCACACCTAATGCCATTCACACATTCCGTTCGCTGGGAGTCCAGGCACTGTCAGCATCATCAGCAGCTCTCCCTGCGCCCTGCATGCGCCCCGAGCGCGCCCCTCTAGCAGAGAGCAGAAATGAGTTAAGAGGACGGAGGCTCGCCACGCTTCTCCCACCCGCGCATTCACCGAATCCAAGTCACAGCGGTGTGTTGAAGTGACCAGTCTGCCTGTGAGTTTTTTGACCCCGTCATATTAAACGCGTTGCGGTCGCTGGAGTGGACCTACAGTGCGGAGCGCACACCGCTGGAGATACCGCTGTGAGAGAGAGGAGCGCGCTCTGAGGAGGTTGGATGTTTTGTTCCCCAGATTGTTCGCGAGTTTGAATTTGTGAGCGAAATTTTTTCTACAACAACAAAAACAACAAAAATCTTATTTATTTTTTTCAAATGCCGCCCAGTCTGCACGCCCAGCTGAGCCCAACTTTACAGTCCTATCAGGGGATTTTGCGGAGACTAATTCCAACCAGTCACGGACTCCAGTACTTGCAGAATCAGGTAAAAAAAAAAAACCAAACAAACAAACAAAACAACAACATTAAACCTTTTAATAATAACCGACCTAAGGTAGCGAAATGAAATATTTTGATTTTTTTTGTAGGTTACGTCGTCCAAAATAAATTCTAAACTCACCTTTTTCATTAGCTTCACTTTCCACAATGCAACCTCTAAAATATTTGTTCTGGTCTGGCGCTACTTGACAAATGAGCCCTCTCAGTTCCCCTTTGTTCCCCTCATCCCAAACCAAAATTACTAATTAGTGCCCTTTGTGTCCACGTTGTCTCAATTGCTCTCCGTCTGCCTCTTTCTCCTCCTTCCAGCGGAACTCGTCAGCAGTGCAGGGAGAATGAGGAGTCACCGGGGCCGGGGGAAACAGCATGAGTGGCCCGTGCATCTCCATTAGACTGACGGCCCTCATGTTTCTATGGAAGTGGTTATCACTAAGCCTGCTCCAGAGCTGGTTGGTAGCAGGGGCCAGTGCTGCGGACCCTGCCGGGTCAGGCTTCAGCGGCTCCACTGGGCCCCTGGGCTGGCTCCTTTCGGACAAAGGTCCTTTTCACAACTCGCAGGAGTTTGTTGATTTCACAGAGCGCTACCAGCAGGGATTCACCACCAAGTACAAGATATACAGGTGAGAGACAGCAGTGGTTGTGCCAGCTGACTGCTGCAGAGCTTACATACCTGAAATCAAGGCTGTTTTTGTCAAGTCAAATAGGCTAAATGTAATTATTCTGATTCATGTGGTCTTGCTTGGAGTTTCCCCCCCTCTCCTTCTTCTTTAGAAAAGGGTATACTAAACAAGAGATTAGGGTATACTTTTCTTTAGACTATAAAAGATGCAGATTTAGTGGGTGGTGAACTGGGGGATGATGTATTGAGAAGATTACTTTGCATACAAATAAAAGCACTGCGTGCAGTTTGCACACATGCAAGCATCTTTGGGTGCGACTGTTTGCCCTTTTTGATGGTAGCAACGACATATGGTTTGAGTGTGATACAAACTCTCAAAATGCTGCATATCAGTGGGAACTCAAAGTGAAGATACTGCAGGGGGGTTTGGGCAAAGCAGTGGGACATAAGAGATATCTGACTGAGCTCGCTGATGTGTGACAGGATGGATTCAAAAAGTGTGCGGTGTGAAGTGTAGTGGGTGTGTGCTTTCGAAACAGCGGGGTATTGTTTGAAAGCTTGCTGTGATGTAATTTTTCTTTAGTTGTTTTTATTTTATTTCCTGACAGGAGTAGAAAACACTGAGAATTTCAGAGACGAAAGCTACAAATATTACTCAGCGGTCTCTTGGTTTGGATATATGGCATAAAATGGTGCATAACACCCATTGGGTTTTTTTTCTCCATTTCCACAGCTTGCGCTACAAAGGAAAGGAAGGCGATTTTGCCACTGTCACCAGAGTTAACACATTTAGCAGATTCTTTTAGTCTTTTACACAAGTGAGTGTACCAGCTGTCATATTTCCCTAAGCTTTGCTGTCTTCGGAATAGAAACGTACCTCCAGCATTCAGAGTGTGCACTGAAACCGAGACTGATGAAATTCTGTTAGGCTGTGGGTTCAGTCAGCGTGACTTAGCACAGACTGAAAGGGCAAAGTCTGGTGTATGTTTGTTTGATGGCTGTATCATCTTATGGAGTCTATAAATCACCATCCAAAGTAGACTGTGTGAGCATTCCTGTTTTGACTTCAGGGTGTGAATGTCCTCTGGAGGTTGGAATAAAAAAAAAAATCCTTGTTTTTGATATACGTAAACATAAACATTTTTTTTTTAAAATCACATGCTTGACTTCACATCTTTTGTGAAAAACGGAGGTACCAACAACAATGGCTGAAGATGCTCCACGATATGTGAGAGTGCAACTAGGTGTGCTTACTTGAGTGTCTGTATTTGCGCCGGTGTGTGCCAGGTAAGTGCTTTGATAGTCATAGATGAGAGTAATGCCGGGGTGTCCTCAGCCGAGTGGCAGAGGAGCTGTTGCCAGCTGAACAGAGGTTTGACTGACACTGGCATTTAGCAGCTGACAGGGGCGACAATGCCAGGCAAAGACAGAGAATGTAGCGCTGCTGGCTCCCCAACATCCATCATTTCCTCCTTCACTGCCTCTCTGTTGGCATCGTCTTTCCATTTCTCAGGACGTCTTCATATCTGCTTTTCTCCTTGCTTGCTCTTGTGCCCTCCTGCCCTTTCTGCACCCCACCCAAGTGCTGCAAATCTAACATTTGCACACAGCTAAAACATGCGCTCAGATTTTTGGCCAACTTCTAGACAACATTTTCTTACAGACACTATGACTTTTTTTTTTTGACCATCAATTGAATATCTGATAATGCAAACTTGACAGGTCTATAACCGTCTTTTCCCCTCAGGCTACAATGGCCTTTTCAGTTTCGTTCTAGAACAGTACGATACCTAATTAGAGCAGAAATCCAATAGAAACTCAAGTGAAAAAGGTGAAATATCACCATGTTGAATAGAGTTCCTGCATTGTCGTTTAGTTTCCTGGGCTGAAAAAGAAAAAAAGCACAACTCTTTCGAAGCTTTAAATATCTTGCACTCCTGGCACTGTCATCCTTCACTGAGCAGCTGAGGATGCTGAGGAATGAAGAGATCAGAAGTGCCTTCAAACTGCAGTGGGATGTGCTGTTTGTTTGGGTTGCGTGGCTCATAAAAGACTCATGAATTTTAAATCTTTTTTATTTAAAAAAAAGAAAACTCTAGGACAAAATAATCTTTCGTATTGACCGACAACAGCGTCCTGCTCCTTGCAGACACTTTGCAGCCTATTATGGGTCAGTAAAAGTCCTTTTATTGCCTCTTGAATCACCAACACTGTGTCAGTCCCAAACTGAAGCTGGCCTCAATTTGGAGAGCTTTCCTTAGTGCTTGTGTGGATTCCACACCTCCTAAGTATAAAGTATATGTACAATACTGGCATGCACACCTAAAGACAGATGAGACATAGCAATATGAACTCAGTCTCAGTATTCACCGGGTATGAGGGAGGTTAAATTTAAACATTAAAATGTAAACCCCGTCTCTTCCTTTATCTCCATGTCTCTGTCAAGTTCTTTTTTTTCCTGCCCCCTCTCCCTACCTCCCTTACTCCTTTTCTTCCTCCCTTGTCGAATGATCTCAAACCAATTGCTCTCCCTTGCTCATAAATATTCTCCAGAGCTCAGTTGGCCTTTCCCATCAGGGGGCAGGGGAGAGGGAGTCAGGGAATGAGGGAGAGGGCTGTAGGAGATGGAGTACAAAAGGAGAGAGAGAGAGAAAGAGAGAGAGAAGAGAGGAAACACAGCTTTATCCCCCCCTGCCGGCGGGTCATTGCACCAGAACAGCTTGTAGTCTTTTCCAATTATATTATATCCTTTTTTTTTTCTTCCAAAAATTAACAATTTAGTTGAGTACTATTCAGAGTAAAAGTTGTAAGGTTTTTCTTTTCTTTTTCCCCCCCATCGCCTGCATGGAGTGCATTAAAAAGCAGATTAAAAAGCTTAGAGATTTACAGCTTTATGTCGCAGCAGTGTAAATGTGAAACATTGTAACAAATGTGATTTTCAGACTGCAAATCCTCTGAGTGAAAGAAAGAAGTTCTCTCTTTTCAAGGTCTGATCAAACGCAATAATATAATGGATTCAGTGGATTCAAAAGCAATGAAAAACAGGCATAGAGGCACTTAACGATATTACTTGCAATGCGATTGGAGAAAAAAATACACCTGTTATGTCAGGCATAATGGGGGTTTTAAAATGCCCGTTTATTCACTTGCTCTTTCTCTTCTCCCGGCGTGCGTCGCAAATCTCGCAACAGCTTTGTGGCTTTTATTTTATTACTGATGGTAGTTGGATGATTCCAACTTTCCTTGTCCGGCTTGTACATCTTGGTTTATTTGAAAAGCAAGTGAAGCAATAAACAGCTTTTTTCTTTTCACTGCTCCTTGTTCACACTGATAGTGCGAGATGAGATTTTAAGATATTTCTGTGCAGTTGCTGAATACATGCGCATCATTGCTGGAGGGGAGGCTGTAAAATTAACAAAAGTATGCTTCAGATTAATTATTGAGCAGCTCTCGGTGTTGAGAAATCATCTCTGCACATGTGAGAAGCTCTTGCGCCATGATTTCTTGAGTGCAGTCGAGCCACATCCACAGACAGTAGCATATTAGTCAAAATGTCACCTCCTCCCTTCTTCTTCTTCATGGGCCATAACTTTTATATCACGCCTCATCTCCTGTGTTTTCTCCTCTCTTTTTCTCCTGTCAGCCTAGTAGCTATTACACTGACTTCATTTGATATAAGGAGTCGTCTCTTGTAATTATGGAGTGATTAGTGTTTCAATTATATGCAGACATGTTTGTGGAGAGGATAGGCTGCCAAGGCATGATGTTCACAATACCTGTCATTTGACTTAGCCTATTGTCGTGTTTATGACTTTGCTATTGTGTTCTGAATGCTTTAGATGGGAAAGCACATTTAAAAGAGATTATGAAATGGGACGGAATAAATGGGCTTACAACTGCAATGAAAAAGCAATGAACAGAAGAGAACAAAACAGAAGAACAAAAGGAAGAAAGGGCAAAGCAATGTAATATCACAGTGCAATGCATCACAATACATAGTAAACAATGCCATAAAATACTATCAGTGGTCCTGAGAAGATTATCTAATTTAAAAAACAAACAAACAAACAAACAAACAAAAAACTCTCTTAAAGCCTCTGATAAAGACTAAATTGTCAAGTTGCCTTTTTTCACTATGAAAATCTTGTTTCCATGCAATGTGAGGGCATGTTAGATGGCAAGAATTACAATTTGATTAGTCAAATTAATAGTTTTTTATGCTTGCATTCAGTAAGTCACCAATTTAACTTTATAACAAAGATGTGGAAGAGTGTACTGTAGTAAATGCTGTGTCTCCAGTCATATACTTTGATAATTACCCTTTCTATTTTTGGTATGTAAGTGTTTTCACACTTTCAAATACAGCCAGATGAAGTCTGCTGCAAGGAACCAGATGGCAGTGAGAAACTTAAATATTAAATTCTGTACCCCTCGAACCCTCAGTGGTAACCATCTTAACTCTGTAATGGAAAAGAGACCATCACAATGTTTTCTGCCAGTAGAAAAAGGATAGAAAGTGGCTTTGTAGCTAGCTATCTTGCTAACGGTCTCAGATGGTTTGGTTTTTGGGTTTTCTTTTTACCATTTCAGGCAAAATCAGACATATGCATCTGTCCTGGTGCTGTTATGTGTTTGTTTAAGTTAAACTGTTAAACTTTATAAGAGAAATGTTCACTAGACATTAAAAGTCTAGATGGTCGTGTGCAATGTTCAAAGTACATTTAAATGCAAAATAATTCAACAAGTAGTTTTAGGACTTCATCAACTCAATAAATAAACAAGACAGTTTTTCAGACATGCTGTAACATTTCTATAATGATTTATTGCAAGGTATCTGCTGTCCATTTATCAAACCGTTTTTGTTTTTTGTTTTTTTAATTTTTGAGGGTTAGATGCCAATGCTTCAAAAAGTTAAGGCATTTTTACCCCCTCACACACACACACACACAACAGACTCTGGAATTCTATGAAGAAAATATAGACCAGCTGCAATATGATTTA